AAATAATTAAAAAAAATATTCCTAAATAAAATAACAATAAATTTTAAATTATTAAATATTAAAAAAATTCCTAAAACAAGAAAAAGAAAAGGAGTCAGTTAAAGCTGGTTTAAAAGAACAATCATCCGTTCTGCTTTACCTTTCTGCCACAACAGTCTTGAGTCCCTTGAGACATTAATTGTGACGTCCATACAGGTAGCCTTTGACTTACAACCATTCGTTTAGCAACTGTTCAAAGTTACGACGGCTCTGAAAAAAAATGACGAATAACTGGTCCTTGTACTTATAACTCTCGTAGCATCCCCATGTTTTGTTTTTTTTGTCTTTTAATGACCCTGTAATCCAGGGGTGAAATGCGACTGGTTCGGACCGGTTCGCCCAAACCAGTAGCGATGGTGGCGGGTGGTTCGGAGAACCGGTAGCGATGGCAACGCGAGGCTCTGCCCACCCACCCGGTTGTCGTTACTTCCTGGTTTTAACCCTCTGCACATGCGCAGAAGGGTTTGCGCATGCACAGAGGGTATGTGCGTGCATGTGATGTGAGCGGAGTGAGCCAATGCGCGTGGCACGTGCACTTTTGAACTGGTAGGTTAGGTAAGTAGACTTCACCCCTGCCGTAATCCCTTACATCGGGGTGGAGTCGGGGCAACTGAATGGAGCTGAGTGTTTACTGGCCAGATGCCCTTCCTGTCGCCAATGCAGAGTTCATAGCAGATAATAACTCATTGTGCTCAGAGAGTAAAATATCTGCCGCTACCTAGGTTCGACCTCACAGCCTCCTGATTTTGAGGCAGCAAGTACCTATGACAACTGCAACATCCCAGGGCCATGTGATTGCTATCTGCAACTTTCCCAGCCAGCCAGGGCCATGTGATTGCTATCTGCAACTTTCCCAGCCAGCTTCTGACAAGTGAAGTCAATGGGGCAAGCTGGAGTCGCTGAATGACAATATGATTCACCTAACAACTGCAGTGATTTGCTGAATAATCGTGGCAAACGAGGTTGTAAAATTGGCCATGAATTACTTAACAACCATCTTGCTTAGCAATGGAAATTCTGGTCCCAAAGGTGGTGGTAAACCAAAGGTCCCCAACCTCCGGTCCATGGACCAGCACTGGGCCATGGCATGCCAGAGACCGGGCTGCACAAACATGCAAAGTTCCATCCACGGGATGCAAGCAGCACGCAAAACCACATGCCCTCCGATCCACAGGAAAAACCTTTCTCCATGGAACCGGTCCCTGGTGGCCAAAAGGTTGGGGGCCGCTGTCCTAAACTGAGGCCTACCTGTACTGCTCACAGGATCTATCTAGCAGGTCTCAGCAACCTGACATAACATGCGTACACGGGCTTTACATCCCCATCCAACGCCCCTCTAATGTCACCATAAGCATTCCATATACAGCTCTTCAACTTTATATTGCCGAAACAAAACCTCATTATCTTCATGGAAAAACCTACACACAGGGTACGAAGCCACAGTCTGCATAGATTAGAAAGTGAAACAGACTGACTCCAGGTCAGCAAAGGAGTGTGACAAGGCTCTATACCAGTGGTGGGTTGCCCCCAGTTCAGACCGGTTCTATAGAACCGGTAGTAAAACTGGTGGGAGGCTCCACCCACTGACCCTGACGTCACCAGAAGCGATCTGCACATGCGCAGAAGCAAGGCGGGCACACAAGCGAAGTGAGCGCACATGATCCCGTTGCGAACCGGTAGTAAAGATAAGTAGAACCCACCCCTGCTCCATACCAGTGATGGCTAACCTTTTTGTCACCAAGTGCCGAAAGTGCATGCACATGCACCTATAATGCAATGCACGCATGACATCCCCTTGCGTGCCCTGCCATCCCGCATGTATGTGTGACCCCCCCCGTGCGCTCCACCCCCGTGCATGTGGGTGTGTGCCCCCTGCGCGCCCCCAGCCCCCCACGCATGCATGCATGACCCCTGCAGGCGCCCTGCCCCCCGCGATTGTGCACGTAACCCCTGCACGTGTGCCCCACCCCCACCCACCCACGCATGCATGTGTGCCTCCCGTATGAGCCCTCCCACGCATGCGCGGCAGAGCCCCGAAAACCAGCTGGCTGGCAGGAGGCGGGCGTGCATGTGTGGTAGAGCTGAGCTGGGGCGACGGCTCGCGTGTCTGCAGGGAGGGCACTGTGTGTCACAGCTCTATGCTCTTCCTTTATCTGTATGCTGAATATATATTGAGAAAAGCTGGGTTAGAAGGAATCATAGAATCATAAAGCTGAGTGATTTTAAAACTGGGGGGGCAGAGAGACATTGATTATTGGTTCTATGTTGGCTGGGGAATTCTGGGAATTGAAGTCTACACATCTTAAAGCTGCTGGCATTGAGAAACACTGTTCTATAGTATACTGTTGTCGCTTCTTCCTTGCGCATTCCTCTTCTATGCTTGTGCCCTGTCATCATGGCTATTTTTGGACATGACTTTAAACATTCAGAAGCAATTTACTTGGACCACTAGACAGATGGCTAAGCCGGCCATTCTAAGTACCCTTCTACTCTTGCCCATCCCTATCCCACCCCAAATTAAAGACAGTGATTGATGGCTGTTCTTCCTGTTAGTAAAGAGGGAAAGTGATGCCAGGGAGCCCACTAAATTTGTCCCTCATTTAAAAGAGTAAGGGCAGCACCATTCACTGGCCTCATTACTCTGCTGTGAGGCTAAAGTAACAGTAACATACTTATCGTATTTTTCAGAGTATAAGACGCACCTACCTTTTTTGGTGAGGAAAACAAGAAAAAGAAATCTGCCTCTGCCTCCCAGCAATTTTGCCTCATTGCAGCAAACAGCAAACAGCCTGCTTTACTTTCATTTTCGTTTTCAGCATAGCTTGATTAGCACAAGGAGAAAAAAAATCTGCTCCAACAATTTACTTCCTTGGTAAGCAGAGGCCTGCGCAAAACAGCTGAGAGCAAAACAGCTGAGAGTCGGGAGGCCGATCCAATCAATTTGTGCTAATTAGACTGTGCTGAGGCTGAAACGAGCTGTTTCTTCTTGCTGTTTGCTGCAAGGAGGTAACTGTTGGGAGGCAGAGGACAAAGGGTGGGGGCCAGTGGGTAGGCAGGGCTACATTGGGTGTATAAGGCGCACCTAAATTTTCACTCCCTTTTAGGGGGGAAAAAGGTGTGTTTTATACTCTGGAAAATACGGTATTTGCCAGCTCAGACTGGAGCATACAATTTTATTATGACCATCTGGTTGTGCCCATGTTTCACCCATGTCACATACAGATAGTCCTTGACTTACAACAGTTCATTTTGCGACAATTCAAAGTCACAATGCCATTGAAAAATGTGACTTGTGTCTATTTTCATATTTGTAAGAATTATCAATAGAAGAGAATATTTATAACTCAGATTTGAACTCGAATTACTGGGTTACTTTCTTGCAAATGTTTCATTACCCAACTAGGTAAAAATTTGCTAAAAGAGAATGGAGTTTGCTCTCTGTTTATATATATTATTTGCCCTGTCAGTGATGGTGGGAGTTTTGTTTTCTTTGGATAGGTCTCCTTGATTAGGCCCACTTGTTTACTATTTAATTGTCTGAGCTGGTAGTTCCTTTACCGTATTTGGATATGGTTTACTACAATGGTAAAATGCAAATTTTTTTACTACCGGTTCTGTGGGCGTGGCTTGGTGGGCGTGGCAGGAGAAGGATAGTGCAAAATCTCCATTCCCATCCCACTCCAGGGGAAGGATACTGCAAAATCCCCATTCCCTCCCCACTCCTGGGGGAAGGATACTGCAAAATCTCCATTCCCACCCCACTCTGGTTCCAGCCAGAGGTGGCATTTGCCGGTTCTCCGAACTACTCAAAATTTCCATTACCTGTTCTCCAGAACCTGTCAGAACCTGCTGGATTTCACCCCTGGTTTACTGCTTGATTGTATGTCTGGTATTAATCCTAATGTTAATCCTTGCTTATCTATGTGTTGATTGCTGGCAAGGATGTGTCCTAGCCTGGTCTTTTTATTTTTGTTTCCTGCTTAGCTTTTTCCTTGTCTCTTTTGAATGCTATGTAAATGTTATAATGGTGTGCAAATGTTTACATTTGCTGTAGCTGACATTCTGATGGCATCTAGTAATAAACAACTTTTTACACTATTCAAACGAAACAAGGAAAAGGCTAACAAGGAACAAAAAGACCTATGTATAAACACCAGGAACTCCACGGTGAGGACTATGTCAGTTATTTGGGGCACATTTTGGCCTGTGAGCCACAGCCACAAGAATAGCCCATTTATAGCCCAGGTGTGCTTCTCCAATTCTATGCAAGTTAGAATCTCCAATCTAGAAATCTTCTTGCAAGCTAACATGCCATTGCCCATATCCACCAGTTTAGAGGTTATGTACATTGTAGTGACACACGCTCCAGGATAAAACTTCTCTGTGAAGTCGATTTTTTACTAAATTCTCTGTAGAGTGGATGGCTTTGTTTTCAGATGTTGTTTATTTATTTTATTTTATTTATTTATTTTATTTGATTTATATGCCGCCCTTCTCCGGAGACTCAGGGCGGCTTACAATGCGTTAAGCAATAGCCTTCATACTTTTGTATATTTATACAAAGTCAGCTTATTGCCCCCACAATCTGGGTCCTCATTTTACCTACCTTAGAAAGGATGGAAGGCTTGAGCCTGGGGAGATTTGGACTTGCAGTAATTGCAGGCAGCTGAATGTTAATAACAGTGCTTTAGTTTGCTGCGCCACCAGGTTTGTTATGACCAAAGACCATTCTCAGAATCAAAGTTTGTTTCAGGCCTTCAAACTCTCTTTTTTTTTTCTTGATAGGCAATCGTTTGATGAATGAATTAGAACTACTGGAGGCTGTAGAAGGGCTTGTATAAGGTGAGTTCAGTCCTTGCCTTCCCTCACCTGTCCTGGAGAGGGCAGTGGTGTGCCATGGACCTTGCTAACAAGGTTTTGCTAAGAAAATCCAACTTGGACCTTTGCCTAGATGCCAGCCCCTTTGGGAGTTGGCACAGATGGATTGTATCCTGTTTGCAGTTGAGGTGAGCTTTTTCCAGCAGCTGCTTTTCCTCCAATCCCCTCAGGAGAATTGGAGCCAGCTAGCATGGCCCTCGGGGTGCTGTTTTTACTGGTGGCATTTACTCAAGGTAGGTAACTAGGGCAGGAAGATGCTCCTGGGATTTTGGATTCCTGGGGCAGCTGCACAGGGCAAAAATCAGCATGACTGATGGTTATCCACTTATGGCTGTTCAGGAAATAATCTGGAATATTGGGCTGCTAGTCTAGAGCAGTGCTCTCCGATCTTTTCAGCTTTGCTGACCAGCAGAGGGGGAGAGGGGATGGTTCTGTGTGAGCGGTGGGCGAGCACACGCAGCTCCATTTGTGAGAGTAGTGAGCACACACGCACACCACTCACACAAATGGAGCTGCATGTCTGCCGCTTGTGGAGCCCGGTTTTGAACAGGCCGTGGCCCAGTAGTGTGCCACAGCCTGGGGGTTGGGGACCCGTGGTCTAGAGAATCTGAATTCTGCAGGAAAGCCAGTTTAACCTGCCAAGGTGAGTTGTGTGGCCAGTTTTACAACACATGGCAGTAATTGTGGCTTTTAGCAAATCATTCAAAGAATGGCTAAGGTTTATCTGAACGCTCTGAAAACTTTCCCCTTATTACCCGAGATATGTAAAACATTTCTAGTAAGACAAAGGTTTTCATAGCATTAACAACTGTGGCTGTTGTTTCAATGCTGAGTTTAAACTCGATAATGGACTGGTTTCTTTTGATCAATCAACTCCCTACCACAAAACCCGGCAAAAAAGAGGATGTAAGATTCTGTTTCCTGTTGCTCAGAGAGATGAGGAAGTAAGCAATTCTGTTTATCTGCAGAAGAGGCAGAGAGAGGAGCATGGAGGAACTAGAAAATAATTCTCAAAAGTTTGGATCATAAATAGAAGCCGGCTGACCAATTCTCTCTATTATGCACAATGATCTGTAATAAACATTAGGATTGTACAGCTTTAAGGCATGAAACGTTTTGTTCGATCTACTCCAAAGGCGTCTCCCTCAGCTCGTAACTGGAAATCTAATGGGACTATTTTAGTTAATTATTTAACTAACACCAATAGATAAGTTTTAATATAGATAAGTTCTAATGTGCTTTAGTCTGGGCTGTAATCTTCTATCAGAAATATATTTGTAGACTTACAGGTGAAGCTACAATTCGGATAAATATATTTATTTGGATAAATCTATATTTGTTGGATGAGCACCCTATGAATGGTTCTCCAAGAGTACAGGAAACACCACATTGGAAAATACCCTTACATAGCAATAGGCATCACTGAATCCTTTAAAATTCAAACCGGAGTTTAAAGAATGAATAACAGAATAAAGGTACCTTTATTCGAAGGGACCTTGGAGGTCTTCTAGTCCAACCCCCTGCTCAAGCAGGAGGCCCTATACCAGTGGTGGGTTCCTCCCAGTTCGGTCCGGTTCGGCCGAGCTGGTAGCGGTGACGATATGATGTCACCGAACCGGTTCTCCCCCTCCCACCCTCCCACCCCCCCACCCACATTATTCTTACCTTTTATTTGGTCCCACCCCCAATCTATTGCTGCCTCCAGAGTCCCAGCTGATGACTAGAGGGAAAAAACCTGTTTAAACTCTTGCCGCGGGGCTTCAAAGGACCGTCCTACAGCTGATCAGTGTTAAAAGCAAACAAATGAGTTGGGTCGTAAGTGCGAGGACTGGTTGTAAGTGCGAGGACCTTCCAGCAATGACTCTGACCAGCTAGCCACACCCACCTAGTCACATGACCTCCAAGTCACACCCACAAAATAAGTTACGCCCACAGAACTGGTAGTAAAAATATTTAGAACTCACCCCTGCCCTATACCTGTGATGGCGAACCTATGGCACATGTGCCACAGGTGGCACACAGAGGCATATCGGTGGGCACACGAGCTCAGCTCTGCCAGCTGATTTTCGGGCCTTCTGGGCCTACTGGAAGTCAGCAAATGAGCTATTTCTGGCCTCCGGAGGGCCTCTGGGGGGGGGAGGCCGTTTTCGCCCTCCCCAGGCTCCTAGAAAGGCTCTGGAGCCTGGGGAGAGCAAAAAATGGGCCTACCGGGCCCACCGCGCCAAAAGCAGGGGGAGCATGGTGTGTGTGTGTGTGTGGTTCTGCGCGCATGCACGGGGGGCAGGGCACATAGAATTATGGGTTTGGGCATGCACGCACGCAACCCTCCCCCCGCTTTTGGCACGTAATGTTAGCCATCACTGCCTTATACCCTTCCAGACGAGTAGTTGTCCAATCTCTTCTTAAAAAACTTCAGTGTTGGAGCACCCACAACTTCTGGAGGCAAGTTGTTCCATTGATTAATTGTTCTAACTGTCAGGAAATTTCTCCTTTGTTCTAAGTTGCTTCTCTCCTTGATTAGTTTCCACCCATTGCTTCTTGTACAGTAATAAAATAAACATAACTCAATGCAATAATTCCAAAAGCTCATGATATCAATAGAATAAACCTGCTTCAAATACAGGTAATACTTGACTTACAACCATTCATTTAATGATCATTCGAAGTTACAATGGCACTGAAAAAAGTGACTTACAATCATTTTTCACACTTAAGACCATTGCGGCATCCTCATGGTCCCGTGATCCAAATTCAAATGCTTGGCAACTGGCATGTATTTATGATGGTTGCAGTGTACCGGGGTCATGGGATCTCCTTTTGTGACTTCCGACAAGCAAAGTCAGTGGAGAAGCCAGATTCACTTAATAACCATGTTACTGATTTAACATCTGCAGTGATTCACTTAACAACTGGGGCAAGAAAGGTTGCAAAAAGTGGGAAAACCCACTTAACAACTGTCTTGTTTAACAACAGAAATTTTGGACTCCATTGTGGTTGTAAGTCAAGGACTACCTGTATAATATATCAATCAGTCAGAAGAATGTTGGCTCAGTTGGTTCATGGAGTTTTCAGGATTTTGAGCTTGGTAGTAGTAAAAACATCTAGTGGACTACCTGTATACGGATACCGTAGAACAGGGATGACAAACTCGATTTCATTGAGGGCTGCATCAGGGTTATGTTTGACCTTGGGGGGCTGGCATGGGCGTGGCCAGGTTGGGCGTGGCCAGCTCGACATCACTTGTGTCGGGGGAGTCTGTGGCAGCCTGAGAGCTTTGCCAATGAAAACAGGCTCCTATGCTCCGTTTTTGGCTGTGATGGCCTCCTGCAACCCTCTGCCAGTGAAAACGGAGCTCAGGAGGGCTGCGCAGAGGCACCGCGGGCCGGTCCTTCACTGTTTCCAGGGTGGCCCAGCGGGCCAGATCTAAACACCCCGCAGGTCGGATCCGGCCCGTGGGCCTTGAGTTTGACACCCCTACTGTAGAAGGACTACCAGGCAGTTTCTGAGTTATACCAGGGGTGTTTTGTACAAGTGTACAGTGTGTTATTTAACAAACTGTTTCCAAATCGTTTTATATCCATCTACCTAGTTTTAGCAAAGCTTTCAGCTTGGCAGAAAGCAAGCTTTGGGAAGCGAATTAAACTGTGTTCCAAAGAACTGAAGAAGCTTCTTGGATGAAAAGTGGAACATCTTCAAAGAAAGCAAAAATAAAATAAAATAAAAAATCCAGTTGCCTCTTGAAAAAAAGCACTTTTGGGACAACCATGCCTTGAATGCCTGAGAATCTCTATAGACTCTAATTAAACTGTGCTTTCTTCATGCTTGGAAATCGGAGCATTGCTATTTGATCTCCAGCATAAATGTTTTATTTGTACAATAGGGGCAGATAAGGAAAGCAGCTCTTAGTAGGTACTTTCTGCCCTAGTGCAATACACACTTTTAACTTTCATTTTCCCTGCTTGTTGCACTGCAGGGCACTGGAGAAAAAAACTACAGGCTCCAACCTTACAAAGAATTCTGAGTGTCTTTACGGGCAAGATTTTTGCACCATAGGGTCAAAGGTCACGGACTACTGGTGCATTTATTCACTATGCTGACATTCAAAGCCCTATCTTGTGCCACTAACATGTTAATTAATGTTAATTTTGTTTTATGCTGAGGGCTTCCAGGCTGGTAAATCTATGGGCTGATACTCTCCAGTCAAATCCCATTGCATCTAACTGTGCCTGATACTGGACTATTTGCTAGCATTTTCGTCACCCTTTTCCCAATCCATGTATTCAGTCAGAGCTCTTTGGAATATAGCTGGTTAGGAAAGCAAGAGGCCTCCTGGATGGATAGATTTCCTGCAGGACAGAAACCATGTAGCTCCCGGGTGTCAAACTCGCCATGTCACGTTGCCATCATGTGATATTTTGCAATGTTTTTTCCATTCGTGGGGCTGGGTTGGGCGTGGCCTGCGCATGATGCATCCAACCTGCGGGCCGCCAGTTAGACACCCCTGATGTAGATCAATGCTTTTCAAACTTGGAAATTTTAAGATGTGTGGACTTCAACTCCCAGAATTCCCCAGGCAGCATGCTGCCTGGGGAATTCTAGGAGTTGAAGTCCACACACCTTAAATGTTGCCAAGTTTGAAAAACAGTGATGTAGGGTATATTCACATGACATGCTATGGTTAATTAAACAGCGGTTCCCCAAATTAATCCAGGAGTTTTTATGAGATGGGGATAAAAAAAAATTAGGATGTCACCACAAAAATTAGGATGTCAGCCATGTATCTGAAGCCTCACCCTTTTTTCCCATGTGTCCTAAGTTGCATAAATTTTTTAAAAAGATTTATTGTCAGAAAAGATGCTACTTTTTACTTTTTTTGCAACCCTAGATTAAGCCCTCCTTTTGTGACATCCTGATGTACAAGACCCTACCCACTGAAAAGCAGTGTTCACAGAGTCCCACACCACAACTGGAAACACGCTTTCCAGCAGCCAAACAAGCCTGAAATTTTAGGGTCAAGCTATTGTTTATTCTTGAGAAACACTTTAGAACCAGCGCAAGCACATTTTGTAGGGAAAGGAAACGTGATACTTTCAAAAAGCACTGAAGGGCATAAATGCATTGAGTTATGTTGTTATGTAAGAAGATTTGAATGGATTGGGACTCTAGTAGCTAAGACTACCAGGAAACCCAAAAGTCAAGGAAAGCAATATTATTTGTCCTTGGTGTCTGCATGGGATAGACTGCCTCTCCATAGGAAGGTTCTATTACTTCGAATGCACATGATTAAGTCGTTGTCTTTTTATGCAGGTAGTCCTCAACTTACAACAGTTCATTTAGTGACCATTCAAAGTTACAATGGTGCTGAAAAAACATAGGGCAGTTTTTCACACTTATGACCGTGGTCATAATGATCAAAATTCAGACACTTGGCAACTGACTCATATTTATGATGGTTGCAGTGTCCCGGGGTCATGTGATCACCTTTTGCGACCTTCTGACAAACAAAGCAATGGGGAAGCCAGATTCACTTAACAGCCATGTCACTAACAACTGCAGTGATTCACTTAACATTTGTGGCAAGTAATGGGGCAAAACTCACTTAACGTCTGAGTGCTCTTCTTTAGCAGCAGAAACTTTGGGCTCAGCTACGGTCGTAAATCAAGGACTACCTGTATTTCTAAGAGCCTCCCTAATATCTTTAAAAGAAGAGGTGAAAGCTGATTTCTTCCACTGAGCCAAAGAAACATACACTGATGTTTGGGTGGCCCTATTTGTTGTGCTTGCAGACTGTTTTCTGTTACCATTTTTACGATGCATTTCAGGGGTGAAATGCTCCCGGTTTGGACCGGATCACCCGATCCGGTAGCGATGGAGGCAGGCGGTTCGGAGAACCGGTAGCAAAAATCCCTGCCTACCCCCCATGCCCAGCTGAGCTGCACGATCATCAGAGGCTTTTTTTTTTAACTTTTAAAAGCATTTTTTCTTCGGCCGAAAAAAATGTTTTTAAAAGTTTTTTAAAAAGCCTCTGATGATCGCGCGGCTCAGCTGGGATCGGCAGAAGAGGTTGTAAAAAAAATGCTTTTAAAAGGCTCTGACAATCCCAGCTGAGTTGCCTGATTGTCAGAGCCTTTTAAAAGCATTTTTTCTACCGAAGACTCTTGACAATCAGGCAACTCAGCTGGGATCGTCAGAGCCTTTTATAAGCATTTTTTTACAACTTCTTCAGCCAAACCGGTAGTAACAAATTTTACATTTTACTGCTGATGCATTTGATGGGTGTGACAGGCTTTTATTGCTATAACTCGCATAGAGTTGACAATTGAGGTGGCTTACAAGTGCTGTAAAACAGATAGCCTGAAGCAGGGTAAAGATCTCCCTGTCTATTCCCTGTTTTTGACGGCAGCAAGGGTAATATGTTTCAAAAAGCCAGCTAGCAGGTTGGAAAGGCAGTAAACGATGTCTCCTTCAGTAGTTAATAATTGAAGGTAGACTGCAGTTGAAGCTGAAGGTTCCATTAAACCATAACGGGTAAGAACGGGTAATGAAACCGATTTTGGTACACTTTGTCTGTCTGATTGTTCAGTCTTTCTGCAGACAGTCTTTCTGCTTCAAGCGCACCCAGTCTCCTGGAGACATCAACAACAATTACCGGTACAGCAGCTCTAACAGTCTCAGATACAACCCCAGGCAGAGCAGATGTCACCTCAAAAGCAGCCAGCTCACCTGTGCCCCAATCCACTAGAGCCACAAGCAGCACCACAAAAACAAATGACTCGACCACCAATTGGAGCACCGTGAGTTCTCCTACCGGATCCAAAGAGCCTCTCACTACTACCCAAACTGTGGAGTCCATCAACGGCAGCACTTCGGCAGGTAAGAGGAAATTCTGTAACTCGGTTAATTGATTAATTAATTAATTAAATGGTTATGCCACCCATCTCATTCTGCAAAGTGGGCAGCTGACCATAAAAATCATAAATATAAAACTGTGGTAATATCAACAAAAATAGAGACAAAACTAAAAACCCGAAGACAAAGATGGTGGTACGGTGGTAGCATCTTCCCTAAATACTAGGAATCTTATCGCCCTATTAACCTAATCATGGATCAGTTGACTTCGATCCAGGGGTATCCGTAGGTAGAGGGTCAAAACAGTTAAGTGATATTAAGATGGAAGACCTATCCAGTGGTGGGATTCAAATAATTTAACAACCGGTTCTCTGCCCTAATGACCAGCTGGGTAGGCGTGGCTCGGTGGTCATGTGACTGTGTGGGCGTGACCAACTCAACGTCACTCATGTCGATAGGCGGTTCACCTTAGCTGTTACAATGTAATAAAGGTTAACCAGAGAGGCAGTTTCTGTAAGCAGGGCAATAAAGATTAGGCTAGAAACACCACCAGAATGTTTCCTTCCTGCCTTCCTTACAGGATTAGCCCTGTAAAGTGGGAAAAAACAAAATAAGATTTCTTCCAACAACCGGTTCTCCAAACTGCTTAGAAAGTTAACAACTGATTCTCCCGAATAGGTGCGAACTGGCTGAATTCCACCACTGGACCTATCACTTACTTACTTACTTACTTACTTACTTACTTACTTTTTGGACTGTCATTTGTCAAAAATGGTGTGGGGGGGTTGGACTAGATGACCTACAAGGTCCCTTCCAATCTGTTAATCTGTTACTTACTTACTTACTTACTTACTTACTTACTTATTAAATTTATATAGCTTTTCATCCTACCAGAAGCAACTCTGGGTGGCGCATAACAATCAGATAAAAAACACAAATATCAAAACAAGAGATATAAAAATATAGAAGTTATATTAAGAAATAAATAGTATGAAAAACAAATATACAAACTCCTAGAAAGGTATGGGAAGCTCCCCCTCTCATAGAGAATGAAATATTTTGGGGAATATTAAAAGAGGCAGAATATTATATTTCCCCAAAGGAGAAATGGAGAGAAAATTTTTTAACAAAGGCAGAAAGCAGACCCAGTCTTCCTGCCATAGCCTCAAGTCTTTAGAGATGGATATTTTGTGCCCATTAAGAAATCCAGGCTAGCCTATTTATAAAGAAAATGCTTCAGCCCAGCTCCCACAGAATTGATGGGATTAAGAATTTACATTCCTCCAAGGACAGGACATGGCCTTTAGGACATAATAGGATTTACCCACCACCATTAGAATAGCAAAAGTCACAAAGCTCACTACATTGCACAACTCCCTGGAGCATCTCAAACACAAAACCCCATAAACCTATAAAGATCCATCCACTCACTCAGCTACTGTATTTTATCAGCCACCTCAGAAACATACTTCTGTCACTAAAGTTTCTGGCATCCGAAGAGACCTTCTTTCCAAGCAGCCAGCCTCCATTTTATTCCCAGCATCTTTCTCCCGGCTTGGAATCGGACCAGATTTTTCTTCCTACAAAGGAGAAAAATGGCTACCTCCACAATGGAGCAGATCTCCCATTTCCTGCAAGACCCTGCTAGCCCTGCTAACATAACCAGGTCTGAGGGCCTTCCAAAATGACAAAAGGGATGGGAACTAATCTAATTTTGGAGGGAAGGATGTTCCACAAGGCAGGTGCCACGGCAGAGAAGGGACATCTCCTGGAGACCCGCCAAATATAGACCCCTACCTGATGGTACCTGCAGCATGCCTTCTCTGCCAGATCTATTGGGACAGACTGAAATAACTGGAAAGAACTGGTCTCTCATTTTACATACATCAAAAAACTCGAAATGGAGGCCACAACCATTTATTTATTTATTTATTTATTTTTATCCCACCTTTATTATTTTTATGAATAACTCAAGGCAGTGAACATGCTTCCTTTCTCCTTCTATTTTCCCCACAACAAGAACCCTGTGAGGAGGGTTGGATTCGATCAGAAAGGTCGGCAGTTCAGCGGTTCGAATCCCTAGTACAGATGTCCTGCGTGAGCCGGGGGGTTGGACTAGATGACCTCCAAGGTCCCTTCCAACTCTGTTACTGTTACTCTGTTACAGGGACTGGCCCAAAGTCACTCCATGGCTTTCATGTATAAGGCAGGAATAGAATTTACAGTCTCTTACTAATTGCCTCAAAGTCACCCAGCCAGCTTTCATGCTTAAAGCGGGATTAGAACTCACAGTCTCCTAGTGATTGGTCCAAAGTCACCCAGCCACTTTTCATGCCTAAGGAGGAACTCGAACTCATATTCCCCTGGTAATTGGCTCAGAGTCACTCAGCTGGCTTTCATGACTAATGTGGGGCAGTCTCCTGCTTTCTCACCTGTGCCTTGAAGCCCCACCCTGTTATTTTTACAGAGAGACAAAGCACTGGGTGTGATCGCAACACATCTTAGTAAATAGCACTACTCATACTTGCTGGAGAACCACCAGAAACACACCTACATGGCACATACTATATGTAAATGCTAACTTTTTTTCCAAGTAGCCGCCTTATATTTCTCAGAATTTCCCATCCTGTCAAACTTTTATTTCATTCCAGTTCATTAGAGCTAGCATATTTAAACTATAAACATCTGGATCAGTGGTGGGTTTCAAAATTTTTTTACTACCGGTTTTGTGGCTTGGTGGGCGTGGCAGGGGAAGGATACCATAAAATCTCCATTCCCACCCCAATCCAGGGGAAGGATACTGCAAAATCTCCATTTCCTCCAGATCAGCTGGGACTTGGAAGGCAGAGAATAGATGGGGGTGGGGCCAGTCAGAATTTTTACTACCGGTTCTCCGAACTACTCAAAATTTCCACTACCGGTTCTCCAGAACTGGTCAGAACCTGCTGAAACCCATCTCTGATCTGGATGGTTAGTAGATGGTTGCAGTGTAGGGAGAATCCCCCCCCCCTTTAACATAAGAAAGTCCCCATATTAGCAAAGAAATATGTCCCCCAACCCCCGAAGAGAAAAGTCTTCCCTGAAGTAAAACCACTCAAGCGGCCAGCCTCTGTGAATGGGTATTTAGTTTCATAAATTATTCCATTCATAAACAAAACGCCTTCAACTGCAGCCTCCACAGAAGGCTGGAACTGAGCAGATTAAAAAAGCAGAGAGACAAAGACACCTAAAATCTACATTTCCCCACCCAGCTCCAAGGACAGGGTTAGGGTTAGGGTTGTGACCTCCCAGCCACAATGGGAGTCAGACAACAATAACAATACTAAAAGGGCACACTCAAGCAGAGATCAAAGTACATTTCACAAGGAACCTGCCACAAAGCCCTAGAACCAGGGGTGAAATCCAGCAGGTTGTGACAGGTTCTGGAGAACCGGTAGTGGAAATTTTGAATAGTTCAGAGAACTGGCAAATACCACCTCTGGCTGGCCCCAGAGTGGGGTGGGAATGGAGATTTTGCAATATCCTTCTCCTGGAGTGGGGTGGGAATGGAGATTTTACAGTATCCTTATCCTGGATTGGGGTGGGAATGGAGATTTCGCAGTATTCTTCCCCTGCCATGTCCACCAAGCTACACCCACCAAGCCATACCACGCCCACCAAGCCATGCCCACAGAACCGGTAGTAAAAAAGTTTGGATTTCACCACTGCCTAGAACCATATAAATTAGAGATTAGAATGGCCCCTACTCTGACCCTCTTCTGGAAGGCGCTGAAAATCTGGTTCTGCCAGCGGGCCTGGGGAACGCAGAGCGGGATGGAGCCCATTAAATGACTCGTATGATGTGTTGTCGCTGGGGTGGGGGGTGGGTTGGAGTAATTTTATTATATTATTTTATTAATTTATTATAGGATTCTCTCTTTTATTAGTTTTATTGTTTTTTATATGATTTTATATTCTTGTAAGTCACCTTGAGTCGCCATGTGCGACTAGGTGGCAATATACATCTATAAATGAATGAATAAATGAATAAATAAATAAATAAATACCCATCCACTCACCAGACTGTTTTGTTAGCTGTCCCAGAATTGATGCTGTGTTACCTCGCTTCTGATTCCTACATAAATGGAGATCTCCTTTCCTGCAGCTTGCCTCCAAATTCATTTTCTCCTACGTCTTTCTCCCAGCTTGGAACTGGACCAGATTTTACTTCCAATAGTAGTAAAGGGGAAAAATTCTCTGTAATGCCAAGTAGCAGTGGATCTGGATTTTTGCCGCTTAGCAATGCTAGCACTAATTTCTTTTGAAGTACTATGTGCCATTTGATTGATCAATATGTGGATCAGTATGTTGGTGAGGGGCAAAAATCTATCTATCTATCTATCTATCTATCTATCTATCTATCTATCTATCTTCTCTTCAAACCAGCATCTTCAAAGTAGCTAAAATGATGTAAAATGCATAAAATATAACTGTAGAAAAGTGTCTCTCTGAATAAAATATTTAATAGACCCACAAAATAATCAGTAGCTTTTAACAATGGTTAAAGGTTGACGCAGCCTTCCATCCTTCTGAGATGGTAAAATGAAGACCCAGATTGTTGGGGGCAATATGCTGACTCTGTACATTGCTTAGAGAGGGCTGTATAGCACTATGAAGCAGCATATGACTCTTAAGTGCTATTACTATTGCTATGGTTGAAGAAATTCAACCTATAGAGCCTTTTCTCTATTGCTAAGTGTTGTATCTTATGATTCTTGACGAATATATTTTATTTTTTCTTTACGTTCACTGAGAGCATATGCACCAAAGACAAATTCCTTGTGTGTCCAATCCAATAAAGAATTCTATTCTATTCTATTCTAATGAAGATCCACGATCAATTCTGACTTACTAAATTTTGGGCTGCACTGTAGCTATACGAAGAGAAAGGCAGGAATATGAACAAGCTGATTGAAGTAACCATTAGGTGGCACTGCAGTCTGACAATAGCCTTTGTTGCAAAAAGCATATCAGTTTTTCCCATCCAAAGGATAAAGAAGCATCTTTCCAAAATGCTAAATCAAGAAAAGTCCCAGTCTTGGTTTGTAAAGATGAGGTAGGGCTACCATACTGTCTCCAAACACGGGGAGGGCCAAATACAGAAAATTGCAGCTCCATGCCTTCTGGTATGATTCAGGTTTTTGCAATCCAGATGAGTTAGTTAAACCCAGGAATGTTTTCTGGAGTCACTTGGAATACCCGTATAAATCACTGAATCCATGACCCATCTTTTTGCTAAATGCATGGTGCTAGTAAGAGACTTGCACAGATAAATCCATGAATAATGGGCACACAGGGAAGCTATGCATTGTGCAGATCATATAACCAAGAACAAAAACTGTATTCTGTCATCTCAGTTTGGTGCCATGTATAGAAGCTGTAGGCTATGTCTTATATAAATATCGCATCTTTTACCACTGCTGTATATTTTGTCTACTTTTCTCCCCTTCCCAATTTTGATTGCAAAAAATATATAATTTGATCGAGCTTTGTCAGTCTAGACCAGTGTTTGTCAATCTTAGCAACTTTAACAGAATAACAGAGTTGGAAGTCTTCTAGTCCAACCCTTTGCTCAAGCATGAGATCCTGTAGCAGTAATGGCGAACCTTTTAGACACCGAGTGCCCAAACTGTGCGCACATGCATGCCCAAACTGAAGCACACATGCACGCATGGTCATGGATGCACGCATGGACATGCACACATGCAGGGACATGCACGCACGTGCAGCAGAGACCCAAAGACCAGCTGGCTGGCGAGAGGCAGGGCATCACAACACTGGCAGCACGGCATGAGGTAAGATCTTTTTCTTTCGTGAGCTTCTGTTTCGTCATTTGCAGGAAACAGCTCACGAAAGAAACACCACAGAGATCTGACCTGGGCCGACAGGGTGCGTGCCAGCAGAGAGGGCTCTGTGTGCCACCTCTGACACACATGCCATAGGACTATAGCATTCCAGACACATGGCTGTCCAGTCTCTTCTTCTTTCTTCCCCTAAGATGTGTAGGCTTCGGTTTCCAGATATCTCCTCCTTTAAGGGAATTTTGGGAGTTGAAATATTGCTGAGACTGAGAAACACTGGTCTAGAAGCTAGATGATGGTTTAAGTTTAAGTTTAAGTTTATTGGATTTCTATACTGCCCTTCTCCCACATTACAGTACAGCCACATTAAAACACATGAATTTATAAAATTTAAAACCAATTAAATTAAATGGTGATGATGTTGGAAGAAATATCCATCTGGTTCAATTCCAAGCCGGGAGAAAGGCACTGGAGACAAAATGGAGGCTGATTGGAAAAAGGCTCCATTTATTGATGAAGCAGAAGCACATGGGTGGTTCTGGACAGCTGACCACATGGAGTTGAGAGTGGGGGGTATTTGTACCTTCTCTTGGGCTTTGCACTTGAACTTCCTGTTCCTGTGCAAGAACATGTATTCTATTGGCTGTTGTCAAACTCCCATGGAGCCATGTACATATTCTAGGAGTTTGTCTGAGCTAAGTTTGGTTGAAGTTTGAACTACTGGGGGTGGTGCAACTGAGATGATGCAATGAAGGGGCTTTGGGCAATTCCTAGTGTGGCTGAGGGCTAATCCTACCTTTGTTGGATCTTGGGTGAGGGTATTTGCTTATGAATAGAGCTAGCTATCTCTTTATCTCTTAAGTGCTGACATCTGAGCACTTAATAGCTGAGGGCTATTAAGGAAGATGGGGGTTGCTTTCCAAGAGCATGTTCCTCCATTTCTCATCCAGGGGAATATAATATTCTGCCTTTTTAATATTTCTCAAAATATTTCATTCTTCTAGGAGAGGGGTGGATGCTAACTTTCTACAATGATTTTGGTAAAGAAAAGTAGAATTTTAAAACACAATCTGCACACACCCGCTGCATCTTTTCTGAGATTGGAATTGTGACCGCATGTTCTTCCTGGCCATCTGGGTTTCTCCCTTAAAGCCAGGTTTGGAGTCTTTCAAAATATCTGATAATCCTAGGGCTTCATCCCTTCTTTCTCTCTCATACAGGACCGCTTAGCCCCGAACCGGCATTTTCAGCAAAACCAGGCCTCGTGGTTGTGATCTGTCTCTTCGTCTTTGTCCTAGTCATTGTAGCAGTTGTGGTCTTAATAAAATGCTGCCGTCCGAAGGAACCAGCCTTTAAGAAATTGGAAGAGGTGCCGATGGTATGTACTCCAGGGTGGAGTATGAAACAAAGAGGTTGAAAAGGCTGTTTCCTGAAATTCAGGGTCATAATCTGTTCTTGGCGTCAAATGTTGACAAACTGGATAGCAGTGGCATTTGAGAAGGCTCCATTTCAGCTTTGTCCTCTCTCCATTTTTCCTTAACAGGGAAAAGTTACAGAAGATTCTCCATTTGCCCGATTCCCACCAAAATAACCAAGCAGACCCTTTCCAACTCATCTTCTGGATTCTTGCTCCATGGATATTTTAAGCAAGCATCAAGAATGTCTACTCCACCCAAGAGACTTTGTGTGTGAAATAAACTTGTTCCAGTTGCATGAGTGCCAATTACTGTTTTGTGTCATTTAGCTGCTCTGGTATCTGTATGTGTGTGTGTGTGTGTGTGATGTATTCATTTATGTGTCAGTTTAGATAAATATTGATTTTGCAGATGCCTTCCTAAACATGAAGAATTTTTGCACAGTTCTTGAGCAATGCTCTACTTTTGTGTTTCTCAACTTTGACAGCTTGAAGATGGGTGGGCTTCAACTCCCAGAATTCCCCAGCCAGCACAGTTGGTTGGGGAATTCTGGGAGTTGAAGTCCACGCTTCTTCAAGTTGCCAAGGTTGAGAAACACTGTTCTAATTGGATGCTGCAGCTCATCTTTTGCATAACCTAGCTCCCCTATACCTGGGATATTTGTATGTTTGTTTATTATTTATGTATTTATTAACAATACATACGCAGGGGGTTGGACTAGAAGACCTCCAAAGTCCCTTCCAACTCTGTTATTCTATTCTATTCTATTCTATTCTATTCTATTCTATTCTATTCTATTCTATTCTATTCTATTCTATTATTCTATTCTATTCTATTCTATATAGATACCCAAGTTACACAGATGACTCCAGGCAGCTTACACCATTTAAAAAATTTAAAAGATCCACCATATAATATAGGTAGTCCTTGACTTACAAAAGCTCGTATAGTGACAGTTTGAAGTTTCAACAGCACTGAAAAAGGGATTTATGACTGTTTTTCACACTTATGACCATTGCAGCACCCCCATGGTCATGTGATCAAAATTCAGAAGCTTGGCAACTGACTCATATTTATGATGGTTGCCGTGTCCTGGGGCCATGTAAGAAATGTCATAAAATATAGCCTAAAAGTGGTTTTACAGGTGGTCCTTGATGTATATCTACAATTGAGGCACAATTTATGCTGCTAAGTGAGATAGATGTTAAATGAGATTTTCTGTATTTTGGGGTAAAGCTCATTTAACATCTGTCTCACTTAGCAACATAAATTGTAGGCTCAATTGTGGTCACACATCAAGGACCATCTGTAAAACCATTTCAAAAAGTATTAGTGATTAATATCAGAGAGTAAAACACGGCCTATCTATAAGATATGTCAGAGGTGGCGAGCTGAGGTGGTGCAGTGGTTAGAGTGCAGTACTGCAGCTACTTCAGCTGACTGCTAGTTCAACAGATCAGCAGATCAAATCTCACCGGCTGAAGGTTGACTCAGCCGTCCATCCTTCCAAGGTGGGTAAAATGAGGACTCAGATTGTTGGGGGCAATATGCTATTTAGTAGACTGTCTTTGGTGTAAGCCACCCAGAGTTCTCGGAGAGTGGGCGGCAGAGAAATATGACAAATAAATAAATAAATAAATAAATACACAACAATTATTCATCACAGTAGTTCATGAAGTCATATAACAGATATAACAAATTAACAGAGTTGGAAGGGATCTTATAGGTCATCTAGTCCAACCCCCTGCTCAAGCAGGAGACCCTACACCATTTCTGACAAATGGCAGTCCAATCTTTTCTTGAAAGTCTCAAGTGATGAAGTTCCCACAACTTCCGAAGGCAACTTCTGTTCCATTAGTTGATTGTTCTCACTGTCAGAAAGTTCCTCCTCATTTCTAGGTTGAATCTCTCCCTGTTAAGTTTCCATCCATTATTCCTTGTCTGGCCTTCAGGTGCTTTGGAAAACAGCGTGACCCCCTCCTCTCTGTGGATATATAAAAAAGAGAAACCCAGAATATTTACTGAGTTCTTTTCTTCAAAGGAAACATCATCATTTAAAAAAAAATTAAAGGAAAACTACCTCTCTGAGGTAAGAAATTTGCCATTAATTTCTGCAGAGCCTGGAAGGCACAATTTCTACCCATTCCCCTTTTGTTCTGCATAAATGCGATGCTTTTACAGAGTTATTGGTCCAAAGAACGATCAGATACTTCATATCCTCAACAAGCTCTAAATGAATGTGAAATACTATTTATTATACATGGAATCCTGATTGCTGCCTGCTCAACCATCTTGCTTGACACTTCCTAAATTAACTTTCTAGAAATGCGCCTGCCAGGCTAATGAATAACATGGGCAGGGAGTTAATTAGTCATACTAATTGTTGGGCCCTCAGCAGCTCTCCTTGGCATTGGTGTTGGCATGTGGTGGGAGCTAAGAATATCCACTTGTGGTGACATAGGAAGACAAATGACAGGCAAAAACTCTTTCCACTTTTCAAAAGCAAAAATCCCTGCAGCGAACACAGGCATTTCTATACACAGAGAACATTCTAGTGAAAAAAATGGTGATTGACAGACCCTGGTGTTCTGGGCACAGACAGTTGGCAATTGCAGAGGATCTGATTTACCTTCCTTTAATCCTGCCTCATGGGTGGGGGGGTTGTTTTTAAGCAGCCAAAAATGGGCGATCGACCAGCAGAAAATCCACCTGCCAGCCTCATCTCCAGAGAATTGGACCGATGTGGCTTTTCTCTTTCTCTAAAGAATAGAATAGAATAGAATAGAATAGAATAGAATAGAATAGAATAGAATAGAATAGAATAGAATAGAATAACAGAGTTGGAAGGGACCTTGGAGGTCTTCTAGTCCAACCCCCTGCCCAGGCAGGAAACCCTACACCACTTCAGACAAATGGTTATCCAACATCTTCTTTAAAATTTTCAGTGTTGGGGCATTCACAACTTCTGCAGGCAAGTTGTTCCACTTATTAATTATTAATTGTGGAACAATTTCTTTAATTGTAATTAAAGAGATGTTCTGCTTCTTACAGAGGCTGCCAGGAAACCCATAGGTGAAGTATAAGGGCAGCAGACTTCTCATGCTGTAATAAGACCGTAATTTTCAACCTTGTCAGTTTGAAGATGTGTGGACTTCAACTCCCAGAATTCCCCAGCCAGCTATGGGGAATTCTGGGAGTTGAAGTCCACACATCTTCAAGTTGACAAGGTTGAAAAACACTATACTAAAAAGTAGACAAGTTCTATATGTGGAACAGAGGTGGGTTTCAGCAGGTTCTGACCAGTTCTAGAGAACTAGTAGCGGAAATTTTGAGTAGTTTGGAGAACCGGTAGTAAAAATTCTGACAGGCCCTATCTGCCCCAATCTATTCTCTGCCTCCCAAGTCCCATCTGATCTGGAGGAAATGGGGATTTTGCAGTATCCTTCCCCTGGATTGGTGAGGGAATGGAGATTTTACAGTATCCTTCCCCTGCCATGCCCACCAAGCCACGCCCACCAAGCCACACCCACAGAACCGGTAGTAAAAAAATTTGAAACCCACCACTGACGTGGAAGGTTTATTTGAGTCATTTGAGTAATATTGACAGCAAGATCTGTTCTCCATTAGTGCATAGCAATAGCTTTGCAAAATGGAGCTGGCTAGCTGTGCCAGGGAAGACCATAAATAAGACTGGGGCAGCAGAGGCATCCATGGATGGGGAGTGTCAAAAAAAATCCCCCCAAAATAATGGTTGGGACTGCATGATTGAAACCTCACCGCTTTTTCAACATGCATTGCATACTCATAAATAAATGGTCTTGGCTGCCATCTTGGGCTTTTTAAAAACTTTCCTTTGGATGCCCCTCAGACAGATCAAGAGCTATTTGTCCTCCAGAAACTAGCACAGTTAATGCTCAATTTACAACCATTCATTTAGTGACCGTTCAAAGTTCCAATGTCACTGAAAAAGTGACATAAGTCATATTTTTCACACTTATGACCATTACAACATCCCCACGACTCATGTTTATGACGGTTTCAGTATCCCAGTGTCATGTGCTCACTTTTGTGACCTTCGGACAAGCAAAGTCAATGGGGAAGCCAGGTTCACTTAAGAATCGTGTTACAAACTCAACAACTGCAATAGTTCACTTAACAACTGTGGCAAGAAAGGTCATAAAATAGGACAAAACTCACTTAACAAATGTCTTGCTTAGCAACAAAAATTTTGGGAATAGTAGTCATAAGTCAAGGACTATCTGTAATCAAGGATGAACTGTGTCTGTTCATAGCTCTGTTTAACTGCTGTGGCTATGCATATATATTTGTAAGATCGTAAAAATGCCTTGAAGCATCTGGCATTGAATTTCCAACAACAGCCTGTTGGAAGAAATGTCCATCTGGGTTCAGTTCCAAGTGGGGAGAAAGACACTGGAAACATGGAGGCTGATTGGAAAGATGGTTTAATGGTGGACAGGACCACATGATTTGAGGTCCTGGGCAAAATGAGCACATGGTGTGTGTGTGTGAGAGAGAGATTTATACCCTCTCTTGGGCCCTGCCTTGGAGCTTCCTGTTCCTGTGAAAGAAATGTATTCGGATTGGTTGTCAGACTCCCATGGGGCCATGCAGGGGTAACTTTGTAGGTTGTCTTGAGTCCCAGGCTTGGTTGAATCTTGCTGGGTGATGTAATCTTCCCAAGTGCCATGTGGTGAGATGGGTAGATGACTATTATGTCCTGAAGATGAAGGTCTTTTGTGTTGTAGATAAACTGGCCCTACCTTTTGTCTTGTAAATAACCAAAGTATCTGCTGGGGGCAGGGAGCTGGGGCTGAGTTTCTGTGTCCCTTAAGATTTCTATTTCTTTTAGGGGAAATATTCTGCCTTTTTAATATTTCCTAAAATATTTCATTCTTCTAGGAGAGAGGTGGATGCTAACTTTCTACGAGCCCATCAGAGTCTTTTAGTAAATTCCCAAACATGCCAGAAAAACCACAGTTCTTCGCTGGTCTTTCCCCCCCAGCAATTGGCAATCTAAATTAGTCTTAGTCTTATAGTACTTCCAAATATTCTTCCATTTTTTTCTCAGCTGCAGCTAATCAGCAATTAATCAAACCACTTCGAATCCATAATTAATCAAACTGCAGCTAATCAGTAATTCATCAAACTGTCTAAGATGTGTTTGGCTCACCGGCCTCCTAATTTTCCTAGCAAGTGACAAGGTGCCTCAGGAGAAACAAAGAGATGGCAGGAACCAGAGGTGGGTTTCAGCAGGTTCTGACCAGTTCTGGAGAACCGGTAGCGGAAA